ATAATTCTTAATATAAATAAATTTATTTTTATTTAATAATTTATATAATATAATATAATTTAAATTAAACAATATTTTTTTAAAATAGAATTATGGGAGCGCAAAAAAGAGGTCAATATTGTCAGAGACAGATCACGTGGAAGCCATGTGGGACTGTCGCATGCATGTCTTATTCAACCAGTCTATAATTCTATAATTCACTATACTTTACAGTTGTCACACTCCACACGTTTCCTCGAGTATCTTCTATTTCACTTTCAACTTATTATTATCCGTTTTACACGTGATGGCGGAGTGGTGGGGCGTATTTTGTTTGATATTTATTTTTTATTAAAAATATATAATAATTGTAATTTAAAAAAAAAACTTATTATCCTTGCCGACCACCATTTTTATTTTAATAGTTATAATTCTTTTTTAAAAAATTGATAATATTTAAAAGTATAAGTTTTATATTTTGGCAAATTTTATTTTTAATTCTCTTAATTGTATTAGTTTAGAAACTTCTTATCCTTAATTTTACCCTTACAATTAACGTTAATTCGGAAATCTTGTTTTATCAAAAGGAAAAAAAAATCGAAATTCTTGCTGTTCAAATGTAGGCTCATGACTTCCCACAATTGGGCAAAGAATAATAGAATAAAAGAGTGCGGTTTTGCACTCGACAGTATATCAAATTATAAAACTTTGGTGTATCAATTTAACGAGTTTAATAGTTTATTATTAAATCTAAGAATTTAAGTTAAAGTGGTTAAAAGTTTTATTCTTACTAATAACTTGAAAATTTTTCCCTTTCTCCAAAATTTCTCATGTTAAAAAAAAAAAAATTACAAAACCCTGGTAATTATGTAAGAGCTAGTTGGTTTCCAAATTCCACTGAGGTTCTAGAGGACAATGCAATTTAGATTACAAAGGTTTTGATTGATTTAATTATTAAAAATAACTGATATTTATTATTTAATTATTTAAAATTAATTTATAAATGAATATGTTAAAACATCTTTACCTGTTGTTTAAAAAAAAATTTATAAACTAATAAAATCAATTAAATTAAACATACATAAAATCGCACTTTGATATTTTAAGCCATAGAATGTGTACTTCTGTGTTGCTCACGTTTCAGCCCAGGCGTAGGAGATAACCTACTGGGCCAGTGGCTCAAGTCCCAGAAGTTCCCTTTCACCCTTTCGGTTCTTGTTTGTTTGGTTTAAGGGAAAATTAAAAAAGAATAATGAGAAGCTTCTCTTTAATTATTTTTTATAATTTTAGTTAGTATAATCAAATAAAAAAATAAATAAAGTAAAAAATATATTTTTTTTCTTTGCTTATATTTTTTTAAAACCAAACAAGAGTTAGCATAGAAGGTGCTGTAATCACTTTGTTTTAAAAAAAAAAAAAACAAATGAAAAGAA